CGAGGCCTCGGGCTGCACAAACCCGCGGGCCGCTCCGCAGCTCCTCGCTGGCTTCCTCCAGCTCCCCCGACACAGCGCTCCCTGGAGTCCACTTGGATTTCATGGGCTCCGAAAGCCCCCCGCGCGGCTGCTGGGTGCCGGGAATCCCGCCGTCCTCCGTGGGCCCATTCGGTCCCAGGGCCCCCTTCCTCCGCTCCCCTGAGTGGAGTCCGGCTGAGTTCTGTGCCTCTCTCTGCCTTTAACGGCACCTCACGCTCCCAGCGCTGTCCCTGCGGACAAGGGAAGTTCAGTTCTTTACTCTTTAAGGTAAGTTTTCCCAGATATTTCATCATAGCAATGGACAGCTTACTCAGACATACACCAAAGTTGACGGACAAAGAGAGACAAGGGCAGTTAGAGGACTGAATATATCAAAAAGGCATGCAGATTAGTGAGAAGAGTGGGTTAGTTCCTTCATTAGCCTTATCTTTCTAGCTCAGTTTATTTAAATAAATTTTAAAGTATGAATGAGATACCTTTTTTATAAGTTGAGCTCCTTAATATAATACGAACTTTAAAAACATTTTTAAGATTCAAAACCAATTTTCTTTACTAGTAGCCTTTAATTAAAATGGGTATTCTTTTTTTTGAGACAGGGTCACACTATGTAGTTGAGACTCACCTGGAACTCACGATGTAGCCCAGGCTGGTCTCGAACTCACAGCGATCCTCCTGCCTCAGCCTCCCGAGTGCTGGGATTACAGGCGTGCACCACCACACCTGGCTAAAATGGGTATTCTTAACTAAATAATCAACTTTCTTTATTGAATAGTAGTAGAAACTCAATTCATAGATTTTTCTGAATTCGGCTTTGCAGGGTATTTTCGGAACGCAGTACACATAATCTTCACATGTTTTTCTTTTTGCCTTATAACGTGAGTATTTGTGCATCTGCTCTGGATCTTCCCTTGCAATCGATGAGGTTTTTTTGCCTTCTCCATTTTCTCTGCTAGAAAAATAGTGCTCAACCTTCCAAACCCAACTCACACCCATCTCTTCTGAAAAGACTTCCCGAATCCCCACCTCCCTCACAGCTCATGCCATCATTACCACTTTCAGGATGTGCACTGTGAATTAAACTCCCATCCCTGTAGGCTTCCTCACTCTGAGAGCAGCCTGAGGCCGGGTCTCTGTCGTGTGACCACCCCGGGGACTGGGGTGTGTGGGTATGGTGGGGGCCGACTGGGAGAGAGGAAGGGGGATCTTCCAAAGGGACAGACGGTGTTGTCTTCTGATGAAAGGGGTGGAAACTCAGTGACTGCCCACTGCACAGTGGAATCCTAATGGGGCCTCAAAGGCATCCTGGGGAAAGTTAGTTGCAAAGCTTACGTACCGTGTGATTTCATTTACACAAATTCTCAACATTCATTTTCAAAATGGCAAAATTACAGAGGCAGAAGACAGATTAGTGACTGTCAAAGGTGAGGGATGGAAATAGAAAAAGTGGGTGTGTGTGACTATAAAAGCATAGCACGAAAACCTTTGTGGTCAGCCAACAGTTCTGTATGTCATTTAGGATGCTTGCACCATCTTTATCTGTGGATCAAAATTCTGAAGAAAAGAAAATCTGATCTGAGGTAATATTCACCGAACTGCATGTTGTCCCTGTGTGTAAATTAGAGGTGGATATTCTCAGACTGGAAAGACTCCACCAACTCAGAAATACAACTCCTATATACATTTCTTGGAAAAAATGACAATTAAATCTCCTGTGAGATTAACCAAAATTTATAAGTTAGAATGGAGGTGCTGTGGTAAAAGGATTGGCTGTTATACTATGGTATTGATTTTCATTTATCAAGAGCATTATTCTGATATGTTTTTAGTGATACAAATCTCATTGTAAATATGAGCATTATAGAAATAATGACATAAAAACTGGGAGGTCAAGGGAGAGATAAGAGCACATGTATGAATACCCACATCGTCTTATCTCATAAGAAAGTTTAATTGATAATGTCTAATGTGAAAACATACAACTGCAGTTTAAAATTTACTATAGTCTTCTCTCAAATCCAAAGATATCATTTGGAAATCACCAAATCTTATGGTGAAAAAACTATTTAAATGTCAACAATGCCCAAGTTCTCTTTATTCTGCCATTAAATTAAGAAAAAATTACACATACTTTGATTTTGTTGTGTAAACAAGTTCTAGATTATGGTACCACTTTTTTTGGGGGGTGCTGTTTTTTTCTAGAGCCAGGGTCTTACTAAGTTGTTCAGGCTGGCTTTGAACTTCTGAGTTCAAGCAATCCTCCTGCTTCAGCCTCTGGAATATCTGGGAATATAGGAGCGACTCACTATCCCTAGATTGTGATAGTTTCTCTCTCTCTCTCTCTCTCTCTCTCTCTCTCTCCCTCCCTCATTCTCTCATCTCTGTCTCTTCACTCCCTCCTTCCCCCTTAGGTGTGCATACACACAGAAAGATAGTTGAATATGTTTGTCTAATGTAATCTTGATATTATTTCTGGGTGATTGAATCTGCAGTTATTTAAAATATTTAGCATTATTCTTCAGAGTTGGGTACTTTTTATGCATATATTTTATTTCTTATTTGAAAATACTGGTAGCAAACACATCACTAAGTTCATAGCCAGTTTTTCTAGGTGGTACATTTGTAATTTTTCTTCTTTGTATTTCAATAATTTTTAATTTTCAAAAATAAAGTACCTATGATTTTACTTTAAAAAGTAAAAGCCAGCAAAGGAAGACTTTGAACACCTAAATATAGTATTGAATTTAAGGCTAGATAAGAAACAACATCTCAGGAGGACACAAAGGTCAAGAACTAGGATTTATTTTCAGGGCTTTTTCTCTGCATTACTCTAAATCACTTAACCTTCTTCGTTTCTTAGTAGTTGAACTGCATGCTGACAGATTGATTACATGCTCACCATTTCAAAGACCTGGATTTTTAACCAACAGTGTGGTGCTGGATGACTTCTCGACCCTGTTGAATGAAGGGTTATCTGTGAGTGCAGCATTTACATGGTGTGCTAGTCAGCTTTCCATCACTGTGACAAACACCTCAAACCACCAACTTACAAGAAGCAAAGGTTCATTTGGGCTCACCGGTTCAGAAGTGTCAGTCCATGGTTGTGTGATCCCACTGCCTTTGGGCCTGTGGTAAGGCAGGACATCATGGCAGCAGCAGTTGGCAGGAGCGGTTCACCTCATGACCAGTAGGAAGTGGGCAGCATCCCACGGTCCCTTTTTTAGGGCACACAGTGAACTAAGACCTCTCACAAGCCATACCTCAATCGCCTGCTAAAACACCATGCTGAGGACAAGATTTTAACATACAGGACCTTTGCAGGCTCTTCCAGACTGAAACTACAGCACATGGTAGCATCTGATGTCCTTGTAAAACACTGGACATGTCTCCCTCTCAAATGGGAGCTTGTCTAGCACTGGGAGGTTAAGGAAGAAGGTGGGGAACAAGCTAAAACTATGGAAATCTTAGCAGAGAGAAAAATTCAGAGCAAAATAATCTACTTCACATACTGCTTAGGAGGAGTGGGCACCACAGCTCCTGAGTGTAGAAATGCTGATTTCTAATCAGTCCCTTGAAACCCAAGCCAGCACATTTGAATGAGCTTCCTGTTCAGGGCTGATGCTAACTCAGAATGGCCCAGGACCTCCAAAGACCCCATCTTTCCATTGGCTCATGTTCGTTTGCAGATCTGTGTGGGTTCTCCACCTAGACAAAGACAGAGAGAATCAGGGCCTTGGCCACCTGTAGCCACCATCACTGGGAGGCACACGTGCCATGACGAGGGTCCAAAGGCAAAGGGAGCTGGGGCTGCAGAGCAGAGCTGTCCTTTCGGAGAATCAAATTATGGCTCAGAGGAGCATCTGCTAAGCAGAATAGCTAACATTTATTGAGTACTTAATGTGGACCTGGAATTGCTTTAAATATTTGACATTCATTATCTTACTTAATCCTCATGATCTCTATTATCCTCATTTTATAGATGAGGAAATTTGGGATTAGAGAAGTCAAGAAACTTGCCCAAGGTCACGTGGTCACAGAGCTATGTAGCAAGGGTCCAAACCCAGGGGCAACTGTCCCATATCATGTACAACCTTATCAGTACCTGCAGGCAGGGAGGCTATGTAAAACAAGATCTGACAAACTTCAACAAAGAAAAGCAGACTCTTTGTATAAAAAGGACGACTCCCTTTATATATTATAGCCAGATGTAGTAAATCAAAAACGAAACATAAATTGAAGATGACAATAAAGATAATGCCTGTTATACATATACATCTAGCCACTTTAAAACCTTCTGGATTTAGCAGAATACAATGAAAAGAATAATTAATGCAGTTTATTAAAATGCATAAAATATACCAAACCAGTTAGTTTCCCTATGAGACAAGTAGCATTCACATTACCTTTGTACTAAGAAGCTCAGAAACTACATTAACTACAGCCTGTTAAACATTTCAAAAGTCATGGGTGTTTGGAATCTCCTTGTATGCAGTGTTTATTCACAACGAATGTAGTTTTAATCAGGTGGTAATGGTTTCTGTTTAAGGAAAGCAGAAAACGCATAACATCAAACCACTTCAGGTTTGCTTCACTGTACATTTTATTAATTAGCAGCAGCAGGTTTACCTTCCTAAGGAGTGTTGCTTAATCAGAGCAGCAAATCAGCTTTTCTCTGAGTATAAACAGGCTGAGTAAGTTGTGGGGTGTCTGAGCATTAACAAGAAGTAAGAGTGTGTTGGTTGGCAACGGATACTGACTCAAGTGGCCTGTGCAGCAGACTGAACTTGGGGCTCTTTCAAGAAGCTCAGAAGTCTTTGACCTCGTGGAAATTGTGATCTACTTATAAAACACGCAAGTGTAAGATATATTAGATTTTTGAGGCAGCGTATTAACAAAAGCAAAACTGATAAGATGCAAACTAAAATTAACTGTACACCTTTAAGGATATGCAAAACACCAGAATGATTAGCATAAAGATATAACTATTAAGTGAAGATTTTTGAGCAGGATTTATACAAAGCCCTCCTAGGATGAAAAATCTATGAAAGATAAACCTTAATATCTAGTCTAAGTTAAGGACAGGTTGGTACTTGATAATTTGTTTCATGTTAAATATCCCAAGAGACATGCATGTTTCCTTATCAGCAGAGATCCAGAGTGAACTCCACTTTTCTTTTAACAAGCTGGAAAGATTTAATAGTTCTTGGTTTCTTTTTGTGAAATAAATGTCATTGTTTTTCCTACATATTGGAGGACAGGAATACCAAATG